TTTTTAAATGTTCTAATATCTATTTGTTATAATTTTAAAAAGAAAATAATAATAATAATAAGAATTGTCATCAGATAATGTTATTCCAAACTTTGTAAATAGCTTCTAATATGTTGGAAATTATTTTCCTTTTCATTATTTTTTGTTATCTTATTTTGATTATGTAATTCAATTTTTAATATGTATGCAACTGATGGACTTGTATCCAGGTTAAGAAATAAATTAAAAAAAAAAAAAAAAAAAGCAATACAAACAGCACGCTTGCGATGAAGTTTATATTTTTATTACACTTATTCATGGCACTGAATTGAAGATGACGCTAACGACGAAAAACTCCATACTATCATATTAAATGGCAACGGAAGATATAAGTATTTTCAATTCTTCTGCCCAATTCAAAATGTACCTTATTAGCCTTTTTAACAAGGGTATTCCGGATCGTGGGATTCCTAAAAATATTAGCAGAGTAAAAATAATAGAAGGGGATTATTCAAAATGAAAGTCATGTTTCCTGAAAAAGAAATGTTTTTATTATTTTTTTTTTTTGTATTATTTATCTCTTTCTATTTATACTTTTATTGTTTTTTTCATAAAATTTAACTACAAAATAAATTGACAACATATTGATACATGAACATATAAATCAAAGAGTTACGTAGACATAAAACAATATAAAATATACAATGAAATCATTTATAATATACCTCTGCAAAAATATACTTAAAACTGATTTTTACATCTCAGTAAGTCTTTAATTTATGCTTAAGTATAAAACAAACTCTGTACATTTACTTTCTTATGCGTATTTAATTTTATAGTTGCAGCATAAAATAAGATAACACTCACACGTCGTTCATTCAGATGCAAAGTGACGCAGAAATATCACTCACGCTGTCGCCTATTATACATTATCGGTTTATTGCGCAAATTGGATATATTTAGAAATTAATATATTTATAAATAATCCCTTTAGTTACGTAAAGTTACTGTTATACAAGAAAATCACATGAAACCACAAAGACCTGTTCTTAAATAACAAATAACAGTTCACTTTTTTCAATACATGTTTCTCTGTCTTTATATTTATAATAACTACAATATTTTCAGTGCTGTTATCAATCAACATCTGATTTCTATGTATTTACTATTAGACAAGCAGTTTAGAAAACAAATAGCGGCACACGTTATAAAATTTAAAAAGCCTTGCGTGTGCGCATAAAATTTTGTTTTGTCGGTGGTAAATAAACAAATACAAATACCGACTCACCTAAAATAACGAAGAAAAGAGACTTAAAGAAAATGCACACGTCTTTAACGGCAACGTTTTATCAATTCATCAGTTTTTCCTTTACAAAAATATTTTTTAGTTGTCTAGTAGTGAGCATATAAGACATTGTGGTAATACCTACACTAGTTTAAGTAATCCAATCGGCGCAACTATGATTCACCAATATACAACAGTTAATAGAGAAAGCATTTATAAAAACTCAAGACACTCGTTCCACACATACAATCCTTACAACAATATAGATTTTTTTTTTAAATTATTAAAAAATAAAATAAGCAACAGTAATAGATCCTCTTCGCGGTAGGAAAGGATGGTGGGATCGTTCTACTCCTTTAGTTTTCTTAAATAACATAAATTCCTATTCTCCTATTTTATTAATTAAACACGTTTTTACACGAAATCTAACGATGTCATTACCAATAAAATTATACTTAAGAAAAACCATTCGTTAGACGTACTACATGAAAGGATTTGCTTCACTATACGATAAATCATAACAGCTCAAGTTTTTGATAAGATAAAACAGCAAATGTAACTTTAGGAAAAAGACAAATTTATTAGGTAATTCAGTTCTTTCAAATAACAGTAGACGCGCTTCACGAGTTTATCATTCCGGTTTTACAATCGGCCATTAGCATGTATCTTCTAAGTACTCGACGTTTCTAATGATAAAAAAGACTATGTCAGTATAGACTTTATTTCTATAAGGCAATAGAAATAAAGTCTAACTAACATGTAATAACTGTTCCTGGATACCAGTTATTAGACGTTTCTCATTTAAATAAACTGGATTAAGGCCTGGAGGGCGACTACTAAATGTAAATTATGGTATATGGTAAGAGTAAATTTGTGTTTTTAATAAAACCGTTCACTCTTAACAACAATTGATATTGAGAGTGATTGTCTTAGCTTGTAATTGAAACAAAAAAAAAAAAAAAACATAGTTTTACTTCGCAAAACTGTTTCAAAGTTTATATAGGGCATTTTTAACAAAAAAATAAAATATTCCCTGCGCTTTGCAGTCGCAATACAGAACTAAGATTTATAAACATAATATGCGTCATATGACCGACTTTTATGACATACGCTATCAAATAATGATTCATAGTTGTAATATTAGTAAGTTTTGTTCTTAAAATATTCAAGCTAATCGAGGGTTTCTAATAGATAATACAAGTGGTATTTAAGCAGAGAGTGTTTTGCAGGATCAAGTTATATTGCATCGAAAACTATATATTATACACCTGATAGTAATATGTAAACTAATAACGGTAGGTGTAGTTGACAAATTTTATTTTTATGACTCATCAAATTTTTTTTTTGTAGTCGGGAGAATAGTCTTAATTTTACAGTTTACCTACAATTACAAATAAATTTACATTACTTGATGTTTATATATTGAACACCATTATAAAGCGCATATGATAAGCAATAATTGTGATAATACTAAATTACCCTAGTAAAATATATACAGAAAAGCCTTTTTTTATAAACTAACTTGTCAATAATCAAATTCAGACAAAAACTTGCAAATCATCAAAAACAAATATTGTTTGCAAGTGAAATATTCCAGATGTAACAAAGGCAATATCTCTTCGTGATATGAGAAATGACATATTGTCAGTTCAAATGACATTTCAAAAGAATGCATCCAGTTTACGACTTTATCTGACACGGTATAATGCATGATTTATGAAGTAAATGCATCACATATGGTTCCTTAGAGCTCATAAGTAAAATTTAATATTACATTTTCGTAAGACGGAATAAAAGGTAGTGTTTCGTCTGAATGGGGGATGTTGATTATTTAGTATTTAATAAAAAAAAAATCGCACTTAAACGCCTGAGTGTATGTGTGTAGGCATATGAAAACCGGAGACTTCACTTATTGTCAAATACATTTATGAGGATCTTACAGTTAACTAATCTCTTCGAACGAGGATCAAGTTCGCAGGTCGATCTACCTCTTTTAAATTCAGCAACCCAGTAAGCGACAATGGAGTAAAGTAAAAAAAAAACATACCATAATGCATGGTTGATATCCAAAAATATTTTTTTAAGCAATTAACCACTGCACGAAACTTGTGTTTCTCAATTTTTAAGGATTTTTAGAAAAAGTTCTATACAAATTATTACTTGCGAACAGTACAATTAAATCGAGTGTAACCGAGTAACACTATTCTTATTTCGTTGAATACAGTCAGCATCCCTATTGGGTTAACATGTTATTCAAAATATTAGTAGTAGTATCATTCTCAAAGACAGCTGTGAGTGAGTCCCGTGATTAGAAAGTTTCGTAGGATGGGTCGGAGCCCAATCACCTTTGGGCACCTCTGAATTAAAGTTTTTTTTCTCAGCATTAAATAAAATAACCAAAGTGCCGAGCGCTTCTAATTAAATACCAGAAGAAAATTCTTAAACTTTATCTTAATAGAGAAGACTATAACTAAATTATTTTATTCATCTCACATAACAGTTTTGGAGAACTATCAAAAGATATAATATTAAAACGAATTTAAATCAGGATTATCACTTCAAACATATATCAGAAAGTTTGGCTTCGACAGTTAACTCTTCGACGTTCCTTTTATAATTACAAAGAGATCTACTAAATTATATACCTTGGTATATAATTTAGTAGATCTAAGTAGATCTAAGCATTTTTTTTTTTTGCATTTCTAAAGATTAACTAATGATTTCAATAGCTCTAACCTATATTTTTTTCAATCAACATATATTAAACTCTGTTTATTTACAACATGTACAAGACGTTAATATTATTTTAATGATTATTATCTAAAGAAATTCCCTTGTTGATACATTAATCAAATAAACAAAAAATATAATGTACTGGTTTAATTAATATACGGTTTTTTGGGAATATGATGACCGGTTTGTTACTTCCATTTGTTTCTTTTGTTTAAAGTGAATGTAGGTAGATACCTAAGTTTTAATATCAAAACTTAACATCTTAACATACGAAAATTTACAATGCTTAATTAAATTACAAATTTAAAAATAATCCCGGCTAATGAATCACAATCGAATAAAGTAAATCAATCACATTAGCTAACTTTAACCTATATTGTCGTAATTCAGATTTTTCAGGATAAAAACAATTATAGTAATAATGTAATTAGTATTGACTAGTTAAAATAAATCGCATTTGTAACGAATAAAAATTTGAACGAGAATGTTTGTATTTTTAATTATTTCAGCTCACCGAGCGGTAACATTCGGGGGGCCAATTCTACTGAATAAATTTTGTTTAAATCGAATCGAAAACGGATCGAAACTAGTTTTTAATGGTTTTCCTATTCCACAAAGTGACATACAATACAATTCCAGGTCTATTTTAGCTGGAATTGTATCGTATGTCACTTAGAAGAAAAGAAAAACCATCAAAAACTGTAATTTCGTTCAGTTTCGATCCGTTTTCGATTCGATTTAAACAAAATTTATTTAGTAGAATTGACCCCCAGCTCACCGAGCGGTTAACATTCAGATCAACATAATTCAAGCATACGTGAGCGACAAATGCACGCTGTGACACGTTGAAGTGATTACGATAAAGTATTATAAAGTATTTGTAGCATAAATAGTGATGGTACAAATCCGGGCTGTTGTGTAAATGATTGGTTTATAATTTTTTTTAATTCAAATTCACTTTTATGTGTTTTACAATCAAGTCATTTGTTTTGATTTCGGTATGGAATTCTTTAAGAAACATAACGGGTTAGGTATTTGAAAAACAATATAATCTTTTGACAACTATAGGGTTACATTATGTCTAGAAAAAAGTATAACTACCTACTTTTAGATCATCAGTGTCCCTATCGAGAAAGCGTTAACCAACTCTTAGTATAGTAACAAATCGCATCGCAGCGTATCGCACAGTGTCGCGATTATACGTCACTCGTCGCTCACCTAGTTCGACCGGTCATACAGAACACAAAACTAATACACATCACTCATACACATAGAACAAACCTCACATAACTACCGCTTTCAGAACGTTACTCACTTTGCAATTGCATATAGGACACCTTTTCGCTTTCGACCATACTTTGACAGAGCATTTGTAGCAGCAGCATATGTGGGCCACTCGACGGTGGACGAAAACACCGGTTTTCGGCTCCGACAAACATATAATACACATATCTTTGGAATCCGTTTTGTAACCTTTGTACGCTTCCAAAGACTCTATAGTGATGGACGGATCGCTCACCGTCTTCACTACGGGTGCCACTTCGACGCGATCGTTTTTACCTTCGACATCGGATTCGGACTCGAGTCTCGGCTTTTTAAATGTACGCTCGGCGGAATCGGCGCGTCTTTTCCCATCCTTACCTAACGCTCGCTCCGGTCCCCGGGAGGGGCCGACCTCTGACTGCTGGCAGATTTTGTTGTCCCGGCAGACGCTAGACTCGGCGTCTAAGTCCTGGCTCAGTTTAGTCTCCTGGCTGAAATGCGACTCTACCCCGGAGTCCTGTGATAACGTTTGCGAACCCTCCTGATTGGAAGCTAATCGTTTGTCTTTCCGCCTCGGCCTCGGAGGGAAAAAGTTTTTTCTCGTCTGAAATTTAACATATTCATATCGTTAAAGTCTGTTGCAGTCTGTGTTATACTTTAAACAAGTTTTAGATTATACATGGTAACACATTTCAAACGAAAATAAGGTGCTACTGGCCAGTGCCATCTATTTTAATGCTGGAAATATTATAACCAAAATTACAATTTGCAAGTATTATATTTGATCAATTTCTTAATGTTTATAGGTACTGAAAATATTCTTAATAAAAAGTGCTTAAAAATCCACTTTGTCCCTGGCACTCTGAGATGGGACTCGAACCCACGAATGCTTTTTAAAAGCATTCCATGATCAAATATAATAGTTAGAACAAATTTTCAATTTTTTCGAAAGTTTAAATATTTGTAAAAATATTTCTTTAGGTTGTTTGAATGGATTGCCTGAACATTGATGAAAAATACACTCTGTAGTAGCGAAAAAAAAGAAGCAACAAGTGCTCGAAGAATTCGTCAGTCCTACGAGGTCCTGAGTGGCTCACCCGGATTGCTAAAAGTCCTGGGTTCGAATCCAATCTCAGAGTACAAGGGACATAGTAGATTTTTTAAGCATTTTTCATTAAGAATATATTGTGTAAGTTTACACATTCGAGCAAAATTGATAAGAGAGACATATTATTATCATGGCCTTAATAAAACATTTAATCTACCAAAAGCCTACGCATGATGATGTGTTAACAACAAAACAAACCAGACGAGTCTCACCTTAAAACACTTGTGACAGTATCTGTATCTGGTGTTATCGTTGGCGGTGTGGCAGCGCGCGCAGGTCCAGTAGGCGGGCAGGTCCAGCTCGCTGTCGGACACGTACGAGCCCGCCTCAGAGTCCGCCAGCTGCAGCTCATCGGGCGACGACGAGTCGCCCGCGCCCCCCGCACCCACCAACCCGCCCCTCACCTCGTTCTGGAGAAGAACGGTCCTTTTACATACACGAAAACTATCCAATGCTGCTGTCACTTCGCAGAGAGAATCGTTAAGTGTAAGACTTAAAGAACTGACCTGTTGATAACCACTCTGTTGCAAACAAATAGGACCAATAACTAATAAACAAAATGGATGTATGTGTTAATGGATGAATGGGCCATGACCCACCACACGGGCCCGGCTGCATCTGCCGTCTTAACGACTGTAGCTGCAGCCTGGACTAAGGGCTTATCGTGCCTTTTGATCACCCACCTTATGGCTAGCTCTTGCGAAGTTGCTTAGCAACCGTATCGCAGACCGAGCGCGTTAACCACTGCGCCATGGAACTCCTCAATTATAATAATTTTATTGATACGAAAAAAAAACGTATATTTGGTATAAATAAAATTATTTAAAAAAGAAGCTTTTCGGGGCATGTTATTAAATGAAAGAGATAATTTCATTAACTTTGTTAACTCTATCTGATAAATTATACAGTTTTTTTATACGTACATCAGTTTGGCCCGATGAGTCGGCGGATATAGGTGCCTCCTCCTCAGACTCTGTGACCGGCTCATACTCCAAATCTTTGTCATCATCACTTCCCAACTCTGTGTCACTCGAGTCTTGAACAAAATCTACAAACACCACGCACATTAAACACTGTACACATGTCCTAAACCATTCCACGCACACGCTTCTAAGACTTCATTTTTTTATATATTATTTTTTCTTTTTCCCTTTTTTTTTCTCTAAGAGTAATTCTTCATTTCTTCTTTTCAAAAAGTCTTTTTTTATTTCTTTTTTCTATTATATTGTTTGTATTTCCAATGTTTTCTTTCTCTTTTTATTAATATTTTGTATATTTCTTTTTGCGTGTTAATTTTTGTATTTTTTTAGCTGCCAAATTATCAATTACATAAAGAAATACATGCCAGGTGTTGATTCCAATAAAATTTTCATAACATTTGGCGTGCACAACTTATCAAAAAAATTATCAACTCAAATCATGCTACAATCAAACACGTCGTCAATAAAAATATATAAAATTGTGTATTTTATACGTTAATATTAAATTCACAAAATACGACAATCTATACTTTTTAGACGATCAACGACCAGCGCCCTTAGCTCAAAAATTATCGAATGCGAATCGAATTTGTATCGAGCACATTGTGTAAAATTTTTATATCGACATTTGCACAGCGACATCTTTATCCGTTAACAGAATTAACGTTTACTTTACAGAAATAAAGTGTTTAATACGTCCTTGGTACGCACACGATGCTTTTCGTGCTAAGGGTGCCGACAAATTATAAGGCGTCAATTTATATAGAGATGGAAGAGAAAGAAACAAAACATTGTCTTTCTATTGACAAGGAACTTCGAGTAATCACTTTAAAAATCCGTTTATTTAATTAATTTAATGTCCAATCAAGTCCAATCATGTAATTATCCTTTGACATTTACGCTTCGAAATGTTTTCTTTTCTTCCACAGCTATAACGGTTAACCTGAATAGTTATCGTATTTCTAAATATTAGAAATTATTATCACTGCATATTGTGCCTCCACAAACACACAAGTACCCAATTGTGCTAAAGTTAATGTTACGAGAGCGAAAACAAAACGTTACATATCAATAAATATGCATTATCACTGATTTATGATATTAATAATGGTACCCAGGTACACTGCAATCCAATTTGATATGTGATGACGTTGTGCCATTATTGTCACATTAGTGTTAGCAAAATTGAGACCCACGTCTATTAAACGATCGGTGTTTATCTGTCAGAAGATCCGTCGCGTATAATTCGTCAGTCCGTCGGGCGTATTAACGGATAACTTCATGGATACTCTCGACGGATCTTAAATCAGATTTGCACCGACCCATTTAAAATTTCATGTGCCAACCTCTTACAACAAACAATAATATAACTACATAAATAAAATGCTAATTCTTATAATAATAAAGTCAATATTGCCGAAATATTGATTTCTTTCCTTCAAATTTTGTAAAAAAAACTTCGTCAAATATTTATTTGCTCGGAAGCTTGGTTACGACTGGTTGTATAATAACTTTTGGCCTTAAAGTCTTCAAGTAAGCCCAGAAAAAAACATTATTTATCGCGGAAACTACATGCCTTGGTAATATGTAACCAAGTACTTTTGATAAATGGCTGACATAGCAATAAAAAATGCTTTAAAAACCACTTTGTCCCTGGCCCAGTCCCAAAAGATTTTTTTTTTTCAGTATAGCATTGTGAATGCTTAATGAGGAAGTATTTAAAAAAAAGGAAACACTAAAAAAGCACCTCACTAGATGGCGACTTTAGCCAAAAGTTGATTTTTGCAGGAAACGAATGGACCAAAGATTGTCATTTCCGTTCCTTTTAACTAACATAATTATAAAACTAAAATTTGAAAAATTCAAAACTTAGATATCAATACAAATAGGATAATTACAAAAAGAATACGAGTTACTTATAAAGTTTTTAAAATTAATTTACTTTTATAATGAAAGACAACCGAAAGGGTTGCCATGGAGAAATCAAGAAAGTACCGTGGCGACATCTAGTTTAAATTCGGGAACTATTTTTTTTTTAATAGTCCCTCATTTTTCAAATACAATAACAAAAATTCGTTTCAAAGTACGAGAGGGTGGCGTTGTATTAGCAATAATTTATTTATATAACGTTTGAAAATAGTATGCGACAATCCAAGGACTGCAACACATAAAGCTCACTATAAAAAACAAATAAGAAAAATTTATGACTCTGATCAAATCGCCCAAGACGGGAAAATAAAAATGCTCTGCTTCAAAATAAAAGATAGAATTATCATGTTACTTAGATAGCTATTTCTGAACATAATATTGAGCATATGGTATTTAAGAGAAATATTTAAAATGTTTCTACTTCGAATTCAATATTTTTGCATAATTGACATTAACCAAACTAAATATAAATAGTTACTGTTCTAATATACATGATCTTATACCTAATTAAATAAACAATTCTAGAACGAAACGTAGGTACAACTAATGACATAGTCTAATTTATATTGTGAAAATGATCGAAAAGCAGGTAGACTGTGGCGGTAGTCCAAGACCCTTCCTCAATCCTCACCTCACACCTGGGTTGCGGGTGTGGGGCCACCAGGTGGTGTTGCATTCACGGCCAACTGACAATTTCACCAACTATTAGTCCTTACATAATATTATATCAATAAATCGGTGTATTTTGAATTTAGTTATAATATGACAACCTTCTATAGAATGCATATAAAGTATAAGTGAAATAAGACAAAAGTGCAGACGCCCCATACAATGTTTAATGTATTACATGGAATAAATATATAATCATGAGACATAATCACTAATAATGCCGAAATCTCAAATTAAGTACTTAAGGCACTCGTTTATCTGGAGAAGAAACAAGGCACTGCAACACCCAGACCCGAGGCAATATAGAAAGGATTATTGTCTATATTGATACAACTGGGATCCAAACTTGTTTTTTTTTTTAATTCAAATGAAATATTTGAATAATTTAAAGAGTCTATAATTTAAATAAGACGAATACTGACAGTTATAGGTATAACAGATTATAACATACGATATAATTGAAACGGGAAAACAGAAAGACTACCCATGTGATCTTCTTTGATTCAGAAATAAAGCTTTATACCTAAGGTATGCATACTCTCATTGCTAAAGAAGGTGAGTACGGAATTAGTCATATCCTGGAATTATGTTGCAGAAACAAAAATCTTTTACTTTTGTATTATTTCAGTTACAAATTAAATAATTAAATTAGTATTCTAAAGCTTGCCACCTGCTTTCACTCTCTACATGATGGGTTCTATCATTAGGTTTGTGGACATTATATACTGCTATCTTAAACTAAGAGCCGGGACCATAAATCTAACGTCTTTCTATGAATCGATATTAAATACCGTGGAATTAGTTAAATATATATAGATATGTAAAAAATAATATAATAACCGAAATATAGGAAAAATAAATGCAAGACATAAAATTAAAGATATGCAATTATGTTATACTTATATTAAGGAATATATCTCGTCTTTAGAAATACCTATTTAATGCTAATAGAAGTTGGATGGATTTCCTAAATGTGTCGCAGTTTTTAGTTTTTTTTAAATGCGGATAAGACACATTCCAATATCCAAGAATTCGATAAATTATGGCGTCTATGATAATCGGTAAATTATGGATCATTATTACTAATAAGTCTAATAACAGACTTCTTAATATAAAAATTATTTAAAAAAAAAATCAACTAGACGACGCGACGACACGTAACAACTTTGCAATCATAAATCAATAAACGGATGAAACTCTTCAAAGGCGCCAAAAGCTTTAGAATGATGTAGATTATGGTGACGTCACTGTTGACGTGACGCATCACGTTTTGAAATTAAATGTACAGTCACTAGTCATTGAGGAAACTGTCTTTTATCAAGTGTTCTTAGTTTTCATGTTCCGACTTGTTCAGACGCGATGCTAATTTGGTGCATTCGTGGGACTCTAAGTTCAGCGGACTGCGACCGTAAGGTGCTTAACAAATGAATCAGGGTTTTCCCCCAGATGAAATATCTACAATGAGAATCGTCAAGTAAGGTATCTTTGTGATGTTCATAGCACTATAATTACTGATTCAATAAGAGTAGTGTAGTAGTACTACTTTAGAGTAGAGTAGTACTTTAGAAGGAAATTATACTTTTTTTTATGAATTGGATTTTACAACATAGGATATCTTAATATTCTTCGCTTAAAAAAAACATTATACTGGTGGATGATCTTGTTATTCGAGCAATTAATTAAATCGTAACATAATAAAATAGATGCACGCCACTTTGCGTGTCTGGTCTAGTGAAAATAGTTAAGACGGCGCGTACACAAAACATCATCCTTTTAACGTCTCCACTGCAGGAGCTCAGGGCTTCCTTATGGAAGGTGAAGAAGAATGGGCCATGACACACCGAGCTACTTATTAAAGAAATCATTTTTATGGTTCTGTACCCAAAGGGTAAAATGAGACCCTATTACCAAGACTTCGTTGTCCGTCCGTCCGTCTGTACCCCATGAACCGTGATAGTTAGTTGTAATTTTCACATATGATGTATTTCTGTTGCCAATAAATACTAAAAAATCGAATAAGAGTATTCCCATACAGAAAACGTGATTTTTTTTTTGCTCGTTTCCGATACGGAATCGGAACCCTCCGTGCGAAAGTCCAATTTGCGCGTGGCTGGATTTTTTTTTTCCGATTTGTTTTTGTTATTATATTATACAATAATTCTAATGTTAATGACCATAAAAGTGTAAAGGAACATCTCGTTATTACTCTTAAAATATCGAACATAATAAATGTGTTTCACTTTGAAGGCACTTTTACAATAATGGTAATGGTTTTGCGATTTATCAATTCAGAAACGTTTCTACGCGCAATTCATCATCGTCTGTCAATCTGTCTGTCTGAAATGAGATATACAGGGACAATCCTTTATCTTTCCGCTCAGCCTTAATGAGACGGAAACCTGTTAGAACAAGACTGTACACGGCAATGCGGCGTATTGTACGTGTGAACTGAGTCACGTGAAATGGCGAACTATGTACACGAGGTATGC